ACTTCCAATGAAGTCACCTGCCTTATGTCATCCATCGGTCTTTTCAGTAGAACATGAATGTTTGGCTTCCTTCTTCCTCCTGTATTGAAGAATCACAGTAACCCCTTTTGCCACAGCTTTGCAGCAGGAGTGCACGTTGAGTTCCTTTGCCATTATAAACCCTTAAACCCCTTATGGACTCAGTGCTTTCCTGAGTAACACCTCCCTGTTCTGTATATCTGGGCAGTGTGTCGTAGTTCTGTGTAGATGAACTTGGACTTTACTTTATAACAACATGTTTTATTACAATGGACCCAGTTTACGAAAGCAATTGGATCTCTCCATGTGATAGAATGGCTCCAGATTACGAAAGCAATTAGATCTCTCCCTAGCTAGCCCCTCTGCTGATCCTTGGTCATATGCAAAATATATCAGTAGTGATTTTATATCTACTTTGGGATCATGCCTAGAAACATTTCAGTGTTAGGTATAGTGCTGATTATTGCCTAGCTCCACTGACAGCAGCCCCCCTCTGATGGGGATTCTCCAGTAATTACCATATTTACTTGAATCCAAGATAAGGTACCCCCCCCCATCAGCATGGGGGGAAAAAAGCTTCATCTTAGGTTTGACTACTGGCCTGGAGCACCCCCCCCCTTGCGTGCACACACGTACGTGCACACACACACACACACCAGCCCTGATTACCTGCAGCTCCAGTTCCAGCTCTAGCCCTAGCTTGGCCTGGCTCAGAGCTGCTGCTGTTCTGACTGCCTGGCTGGGCTGGGCTGGGCTAGGCCAAGGCCATTGCTGCCACTGTCTGTCCCAAAGCCAGAGCATCCTAGAAGGTAAGTGGCAGGGAGTGCAGGCAATGGGCAAGCAGGGGGTAGGAAGACCAGACAGCACTGAGGGTGGGACAGGCAGCAGGGGGCATGTGGTAGGGGGGCAGGGGATGAGTGGCAGGGGGAACAGGTGGTAAGGGGTCAGACATGGTAGGGAGAAAGAGTGGAGGGGCATGTAGGAAAACAAGGGGTTGGGGTCTTGTCCCATGTTGCTGCTTTCCCTGACACAACTATGATGGATGGGGCAGGGGCAGTGGGAAACTAATTTAAGACAGTCCTCCAAAAATTAGATTCTATTCATGGAAAAATTATAACAAATTTATAATTTTCTATGTATACAATCTAATTATGGTGGTTATCTTAAATTCACAATCGTCTTGGATTCAGGTAAATCAAGTCCTACTTTTTGAGATCTGTTAGTGAGCCAGTTCTTAATCCATTTGTTTATGCTTTATGGATATTGTAGTTTTTTTTTCAAGCAGGCTTCCTCAGATTTGCCACAGTCAGCACTGTTATAAGACCCTGTGCTGCCGCTGCTTGGTCTGCGACTGCTTATTTGTCAGAATTACCCCTGCTTATTTTATAGCTAACATTCCCTGAAGGTCATTCCACTATCTGCCACCTGTGGATGCTCTGGGTAGCAGTACAGCTCTGCCCCACAGTTTGGGCAGAAAATGGCAATGCTTTCCCTCCTGAAAAGCCACACGTATCCTTTGATGGTGCTGTGACATGGTGAGTACAGGTCACCACTTTAATAAGCCTGCCCAGCCCCCAGCCATGTCTTTAAAAGTCCTCAACAGTGGAGCAGGCCGAAAAAGATGTTAGAATCTCAATGGCTGCGAAGGTGGATAAAGACTGTAGTAGAATGAGATCCCCAGTTGTCTTGGTCTCCTTGATCAAGGTCCCGTTCTGTCAGGAGCCACGTGGAAGTTGATGTGCCCAGCTTCTCCACGATAAAAGAAGTCACGCACAGGCATCTTCTATTAAAACAGCTTTTCCAGCACATTTCTCAAGCCTTTTGCCAACCAGTTAATGCCGAAGGGAGCAGGATTTTGAGGTCCGGAAACTCCTAGTTATGAACTGGCATGAAGGCAGCAATTACAAGAAAGTTGTCTAGTGCTTGGACAAGACAGAAGTGCAATTTGGCAGCTGTAGCTGTGACTGAGTTGTCCTCTTCAGGATCCAATCTACTCATCCCGCTTGGGGAGGGGGGCTAGAAAATGTCCTCTAAACATAGCCTGTCTACCTTCTTCCTGACTGGATAACCTCATCCAGTGGGATCACCTTTACCGCAGTTGAAAATACCAGTGAAGATGCTGCATCATTTTCAGGACTTGGAACATCAGGCCCCTCATGGACAACCGTAATAGTGAATGCCCAGAGCGTCACACTGCAGTCATGGCCTGAGAACTCAGGTGACACATCGTTGATGTAGCTGAGCTGAGCGAGACTTGGCAAGCAGGAGATGGACAGTTCAAAGAACATGGGGACAACTATACCTTTTTCTGGAAGGGTAAATAGGAAGGAGAATGCTGACTTCACTGGGTTGGTTTTGTCATTAAAATATACTCATAAACCAACTCAGTGAGTTCCCTATCAGAATTAATGAGTGCCTCATAACGCTCTGTCTTAAACTGGCAGGGAGCCAATATGCCATTGTCATCAGTGCATATCTCATTGGCACTGCTGATGAAACAAAGAGGAATTCTGCGCCAACATTGAGCAAGTCCTTTCTCACGTTCAGAGGGAGACAGACTTATTTTTCTCAGTAATTTCAATGCTGGTGTCAGAAGGGACTCTAACCTCAGGAACAGAACCATCGGTAAAGAAGGAATAGGAATGGTCAACTCCAGGGTCATCCTCCTCTTGACCGAATGCACGGAACATGGACTCACCATCACCAACACCTGTCCTGCAGAAAAACAGGCACAAGACATGGCAACACCCACAATCTAAGCACTGGCACCTGATTGTCTGTGTCATCATCTGTGCCTGGGATCGCAAAGATATCCACGTTACATGAACTATGCTAGGAGATGATGATTGCTGGACTGATCACCGACTCATCGCCACACTGGCTCCCAAACGACAGCTGCAGGAGAAGCAATACTGATGGAAGATCAACATTGAAGGGCTCAAGGACCCAAGCAAGCGAGACCTCTTCCACCAGTGCATCAGCAGAAAACTGGTGAATTCCAGTCAGTAACAATGGGAGAATGTCAGCAGCATATGGAGTGGCCTCAAGGCCACCGTCATCAGTGCCTGTGAAGAGACACTTGGATTCTCTACCAAGACTGGTTTGATGGGAATGACCAGGAGATCCAGGAGTTAATTGATTGCAAGCACAAAGTGCTTGGTAACATGACATCAACTCCAAGCAAAAGAAATTGAGTTTCCAACAAACCAAGGCAGAGGTCCAAAGGTGGAACCATGGTATAAAGAACAAATGGTAGGAAGACAAGGATCATCCAGTCTGACCTCCCATGGGAATTACACTACCCCCTAGTGCCCTTTGCAGTGTCCTGGTCCTGGTATCTTGATCCAAGGTGCAGTCTGAACCAGGCCCCTCAGGCTTTGGCAGTGGTCTGGGCCTGACATCTCTGCCATTAGTGACAGTCGGGGCCTGGCACCTTAGCCATAGTGACGATTTGGGCCTAGTGCTTCAGGTCTTAGTGACTGTTTGGGCCTGGATCCTTGACAGTGGTTTGTAACAATTGTTAGGCATAGTGTAATGGACCCAAGGAATTTAGGAACTTTGAAAGTCATCCAGATATGGGTGCCTAACACCTGTGGAAATTCCAGCCATACTTTTTTACTCTAATTATCCTGACTGCTAGAATGAATAGACTCTGCAGTTGGAATAATAGGCAGGATTTATTCTAGGGAAGAGAAGATTAAGGGGCAGGGGGATTTGATAAATCTCCGTATACAAAAAAGGGGTTGTCATGAAGAAGATGGTGATCAACTGTTCTCTGTGTCTGTGGGTAACAGGTCAAGAAGTAATGGGGTAAAATTGCAACCATAGAGATTTAGGTAAGGTATTATAAGGAGCTTTCTAACTATGAGGGTGGTTAAGCATTGGAGTAAGCTACCTAGAGCAGTTGTGTGGACTTTCCAGAGCAGGCTAGACAAACACTTGGGTATGATGGTTTAGACAGGGATGGTTCTGCCCTGACATGGTTCAATTAGATGATCTCCTGAGGTCTTTCACAGCCGTTGGTGACGTGTAGGGGGTGCATGTGCATTCCTTGGGAGTGCCAGCCACAAAACTGGAAGTGCCAGCAGAAGTACACTTCCTGGTTTGCTGCTGGTGGTTCCGGGCTTGGTGATTGGCCACTGGGGACTCTCCCCCTCCCCCCCCGACCCCTGTTGGTGATCAGATTCAGAAGGCACTGGTCACCCATGCTCACAGTCCTATTTTTCTATGATTCCTTGTGCGGATGGTTTTAGTACTTGTTCTTGTGGTACCTTGTCTCTTAGATTTCATAATTTCATAGATTTGTTTAGACTGGAGTTGATCACTGGTACCATTCAGGTCAGTATATCATAGGCTGTAAAATTTCATCCAGTTTCCTCTGTACTGAGCCAAGACTTTGCATTTGTTTGAAGTATGCCTTCCAAAGAGGCATCCAGCCATATGTTGAAGACACCAGGAGTGGAGAATCCACTGCTTCTCTTGGGAGCCTGTTTCAATGGATAATCACTCATGGTGTTGGATATTTGTACCTTTATTTCTAATTTTAATTTGTTTGGCTTCATCTTCCAGGCATTAGCTCTTGTTCTGCCTTTCTCTGCTACACTGAAAGGTTCTAGACAGAAAACAGATTAATCATTTACCAGGTCATAGGAGAGAAACCTTATATATATAAAACTGCTCAGCTGATGGAGTGAAGATCTCCCCAACTGTTTAGACTTTGCAGAGGAAATACTTAAGATGTCTGCATGGGTGATTTAGCTGCATGCATCTTAGCAGGAAAAAAGTCTTAGTATTTTTTGTTTCAGTACTAAAAGAACTATAAATAAATGGTGAGCATGTTTATGGTCTGTGAAATAAGTTAGGGTTTTAAATTCTTTAATGAAGAGCATGAGGCTCTAAACATGCTGTTCCTTCATGAGGTACCATAACATCCCAAGTCTTTTCTGTATCTGTTGCCAAAATTATTGTTCTGTCTCCTACAGGTTCATGGGTGTGGGGAGAAAGCCAAAGTGCATGCACGGCAGAGGATCAGCAAAGAAGGGGTTCTCTATGCTGGGAGTGGATCAAAAGACAAGTCTCTGGACCCAACCAAAAGAGCTCACCTGCAGAGACGCCTCGATAAAAAGCTGAATGAATTAAGCAACCAGAGAAAGAGCAAAAAGAAAGACCAGGAGAAATGAGGGCTTTGTTCTAATGTATCCCAACCTGTTTCCCTTTGGGGATTGATATTAACATTGAAAACACAGGATGGGACTGGAAAAACCATAGAAGATCTTTGATGTACTATCCTTTATAAACTTAGCTCTTCCCAAGCGAGACGTACATATTTTTTTGGAGGTGTTAATGGCTTTGTATGTGTAGACTGTGCTGGAAAATAAGTATCTGTCAAGACCATCTGAAAAAGCAGTACTGTTAGGTGCAGAGGGGGAAGGCGAACCATTTTGTTTGGAGTAATTATCTTTATTGACAGGGTAATAAATGTATACTGAGAGGATACACAGAGTATTGCAATAAAGAGTGGTATGAAAGCACCTAAAGCAATAAGCTGTCAATGTGACGTTCCATTGTGATACAACAATAATATGATAAATGTCTGTAGGATATAGAATGAGAACCTTGTAACCAATGGTGTGGGAGTAATTTTAAAGCCCCAGGTGACTCAAAGCATTAAGAAAACATAGCAGAATAAAAATAGTATAACTGCTTCAGTTCTCCAGCCCAGAAATCACCTTTGTATACTGAAGAGCAAGGAAGATTTTTTTGTTGGAAGAAAATGAAATTTTCCAGGTCACCCAACTGAGACGTATTTGCTAACAATGTGAGGAGGCAGACAGGTCAGGTGTTTTCCCACTCTGAGAGTGTTTAACTGCTGCAAATATCCATTTGCAAACCACTTTAAATGGGCTGGAATGTGGTTGAGACTAAGGAAGCCATTGTATTTGCTTAAACATACAGTCAAATGAAAGAAGATAAGATGGCATCATACCAAGGCTGCTGTGCAGAGGCAGGAGCGAGTTTTTTTTCAGAGCTTTATCCCATAAAATGGTAACCAATTTCTATAACCAGTTAAGTCAATAGGACATGAAGATAGTCAGGATCTGAGACACAAACATAAAAGCCGCTTTGCTATTAAAATGCACCTCACGTATTCAAACAGGCAGATGATACTTTAAACTTAGAAAACAACAAATTTGGCTTAGAGTGCAATGAATTCAAGGAGGGATATTTCAGATTAATACACATGGATCAAGTTAAGTACTTGTTTTCTGCACAGAGCCTGGGGACAGAATAGAGTGTACTATCCACGTACTGAGACACTCAGCTCTCATCATCCTGTGCACAACCACATTAAAACATTCCCAGCGCTCATGAATTCTGGTGGTATTGGGAAGGCAGTCTGAAAGGAAATGCTCGCTTTCTCTATTAGAAGCAATCAAAAATAGGCACCTGCTTAAATTGGAGATTTACAACTTCTGTGCAAAATATGAAAAACGGCAATCTCCCCAATCATTGCAAAAAATGGCATTGACTGTGATTTCTCACGAAAGCAACCAAAAAAACCCACCTTAATAAATATAAAATGCTGGCTCCCCAGTGGGAGCTAGCAGTCCTCGCTGTTACTGCAGCTTACCCTTGCAGTGCACCCACAAGGGGAAGGCACCAGCACGCAGGGCAGCTTGAAAGGCAGCCGCCAAGATGGCAGCTGCCCCCTTGTGCCTCTTGGCCAATCAGCACTTAAAGGTGGAACCACATGAAAGGTAGCCATCAGTCAGGATAGCAGCTGCCTCCTCCTCCCGGGGCCTTTCCATCAATCAGCAGCAAGGGGCAGGGACACCACAAAATGACTGCAAAACTGACTCTTTATGCCATGACCAATCTGAGAAAATTGCTTTCTCTCACCATGAGTTAGGTAGGTGCCTACTCATGAACCATGCAATCACATGCACACATATATATAACTATTTGAGATGCAACCAGAGCATTTTAAGTTGCAGTTTTAAGTTCTAATTTACTCCAACATTAAAGAGCCACCCCTTTTCCTTCCCTACTGCAAGAGGTACCAAGCCTCTTGTTGATTGCCTATGGCAGAATTCTGTACAGCAGCATGAAACTGGGCACATCTATACAAGACACTTTACTCAAGATTAGAGTAAACCCACTTCAGAGAATTTGTGTGTACATGCGCCCGCTGTAAATGGAGACAAGATTTAGAAGCAAACTCCCTGCAAGGTAGCAGGGGAGGACAGTGTAAGCAGTCTGTCACACATGGACATGATTGCCATACTGCTAGAATATTGATGATAGAGCAGGTGGGATAAAGTTTAAAGAAACTTTCCCCAAAAATATCTTGGCTGTAAAAGGGCTGTAAACTGCCAAAGGGAACATGGGCTTATTTGGGGTCTGGAACTAGCCAAGGGGTTGCAGGGATCTGCCAATAGCAGGGCTCATCTACTTTGCTAAGCCTTTTCCCTTTGAGGTGGCCTTTGGAAGCCCAGGAACAAGTAGCCATCATAACCAGCTCACTGTTTGTGCTATTTTCGCTGCTTCTGGCATGCAGATCACTACTTTTTCCTTTCCATTCATCAGCGCTTGCTCTTGACTGCTGGGCCATCTGTTGAGATGGTCGTAGGGTCTGTGGGATGTAAATAAGGGACTTCTTGCAACTCTGATCCTGGTTCTGACACTGGTGGTTTCTTATGGGCCTGTGGCTTCAGTTGGGCCTGTCAACCTCAACATCCCATCTGTAAAATGGGCACAATAGTACTTACCTGTCTTAGATGCAGTGACTGCTACCTATGCACAGTTTAGGCAGTGCTGGTCTAGCAGGTTGAAACAGGCCATGTATACACGAGACTATGTAGTTGTTACTGTGCAGTACTAAATGACTGCGCAGTAACATCGCCACATGGCTTCCTGGTGATGCTGACTGCACAGTAGCTCATTACTACTGCACAGTAGCATTGTGTCATGGTTCATGCCCTGCAATGTTACTTCACAGTAGTAACGAGCTGCTGTGCAGTAAGCATCTTCTGTAGACATAGTCACATTCACCCAAGAGTATACCATGTCTCTATGGGGGTGAGTCACTTCCCAGCAGCCAAACTCAGAGCCAGGTATTATGATAGGGTCTTAGTGCACTCTAATCGTTTTTCAGTGAAGTCCTTGGTGGAAGCATTGCACTGAAAGATGCTAAAATAGAGCAAGCAGCCTGAGAGGAAATTAAGCCTAAGGAATTTGATATGATTCATACTGATGTCTTGAAGTGATTTCCTGAGCAACAAGGGTACGCTGTGCAAGTGGATAAGCATCAGTAATTTTATGGGATGCTTTGTAGAGCCTGCGGAAGAAAGCATAGACAGGGAGGCTGAAAAACAATTTCCCCTTTCAAATGGTAGGTATCTTCCTTGAAGATAAGGTGTAGCTTTGTCATAACTTACTGGGTTGAATGCAAGAATTAGTGGATGAAAAACTCTGACTTCTGATACCTGGGTTCAGTGGGTGATAACTGTCCCTTCTGGCCTTGAAACCTATAAATCTTTGAGGGAACATGAAGATAAAGACAGCATTTCAAATTTTGATGGACCAGGGTGCAATTTGATGAGGTATCTCTCTAAGATTTTTTACCCTTCGGTGTAAGCAGCAGCAAGCAGGAGTGAGCAGAAGGGACTCAACCCACAGATGGCTGTGTTTGTGTCACTGGTTCCTGCCACTGGGGGTGAGGAGAGAAGTCTCAGTGTGAAACACTAGGCTGGGCTGGATCCTAGTTGCTTTTGTGAGTACACTGCTCCCCTTCCTGTTGCCTGTGCTAAGGGGATGAGACCACTGGAACCTGAGACTTGCAGCAGCTGTGAAGACACTGCTTGTAGCTCCCTCCTATATTAACAGCTGCATTTAGTTCCTTTGAAGCCTTTTTATTCATAAAGCCTTTGGAATGAGCACATCAATTTTCGAAATGATTTGAATTGACCCTTTTTTTAGGCTTGTCTGTTTGAAATGCTTTGGGGCCAGGTACAGTTGTCAGGCTGGTCTAACCCTGGGTTACCTTGGGAGATCAGTAGGTCCTTTAGTCTGTGTTTGTTTTTATTGTCAAGTACTAGGCACTGTGGAAATAGTATCATTATTCTTTGAAGTGTCCGAAGAAGGGGTATTTCTCTTTTGCAATTACACAGGAAAGGGTGAGCAGCCAGGCTGGCTAAACATTCACCTCTCCCCGACCCCCCCAATGCCTCTGTGAATCATTTATTCAGCTGCCCATTACACACACACACACACACACACACACACACACACACACACACACACTGCCTACTGCTGCTGCTGCTGCTGCCACTGCTGCTGCTGTCCTTAGGACAAGGCTCACTGGAGCAGGCAATTATCTTTCAGGTTACTACCTCAAATCTGCCCAGGGTGCCAACCTCAGGAACACGGAGGGGTGTGATGGTCCATGGTCATGTATCAGCAGCTTGCTGCCCACATGCAGACTTGGGAAGAGCATCTGGACCACGGGCCATCTTCAAATGTTGTCATCCAAAGGATGGCATCATTTTCTCAGCCAGCAGGGTTCTGATGTGCATCTCAGAGGGACTGGCCCATTCTACATGGCAGTGAGGAGAGAGAAAGACATGTTAAAGGCACGTACAGGGCTGAACATCCCACCCCCCAACCCCCCCAGTTCATCTCGGGCTGCTTGGTTTATTAATGTGGTTTTCAGTTGATTTGTTACCTTCTCAGAGTTAGAGACACTCATGTGTAGGTTTTCTCATGATGTCCATGCTAAAGAGAATGCCCCATCCTCACTTCACAGCTGATAGTACATGATATAATGATCAATTAATATGGAGGGGGTTCTGGAAGTAAACAAGATCAGGGCCCCATTGTGCTAGGCACTGCACAAACCCATAGTAAGAGACAGCTCTTGCCCTAGGGACTTCCAATCTCCGATCCATGCAGTATGCATGAAGCATAATCTCTCCTGTTATGTGCTTAAAGTACATTCATTGGCACTGTGATACCATTTGGAGGGAGGGGGGATAGGTTGTTAAGGTTCCCTAAATTAGCCAGGTTGCAGAGATTTATTCCGTTGGCCAGCCAAGAATTTTGATGCTGGTAGTTAAACTATGGAGCAAAGAGGCCTCTGTCTAATGCATGTGATTACTAAACTTAAGGAAAGCTGCTGACTCCCCCCTGCCATTGGGATGTGTGTAGAAGGCTCATACTTAATAAGGAAAAAATAAGAAATCCACTTTGGGGCTAATAGAAAATCCACCCAAGCACTAGTGTGGGTGTCGCTGGGGACTGAGTGTCCCAGATAACAGTCATTTCATAAATGAGGCATTTCTCTGCATTGCTGAGACACATGCATACATTCACTCCTAGATCCACAGCTCTTCCCACCCAGAGGCTAAAGATGCTGCAAGTTTTGTTGCAGTAGTCTCCTGGCTGCTCCCAGTATGATCACTTTCCAGACTGGGAGCACCTCAAGGCTGTGGACAGTAGATGAGCTGGCTATTCAGAATCTCCATCCAGTGATGTCCAGCATGTTAAAACTCTGTCTTGAGCGGTAGAGTGAATCCAAGCTGAGCTATTCCTGGCTTGTCCTTCAAAAATCACTTTTTGCCCAGCCAGTTTCCACATTATGCAAGTTGGTACTAAGCTCCTCAATAACAGGCAAGCGCAGGTCACACAGAAAAAGCTGGATACCTTCCTCCATTACTGGATTGGAACCAAGTGGGTTCCAATAGCAGCAGAAATAGAAATAGAAAAATGTTCTGAGTGTCACTGGCTTGTAGGATAATCACTTCTTCTTGATTAACCACAACAAATGTGAGTGATCAGTACTTGTTTGCTGGAATCACAAGTGTGGTCCCAAGCAAAACGGGGCAATCATGGCCGGTTGAAGACACCAGGCACATGCTCTCTGTCTGCACTGCAGCTCTGAGCCACCTGAGATCACAAGAAAGCTTCCTAGCCCCAACAAGACTGCTTA